GTTAATTATAAATATTTATCCTGACAGTCCTCAGTGCCCCCATAAGTAAAAGCAAGTAAATACAAGAGCCTAACTTGAGGTTAATCATGCCGGCAGGGGCTTGGCAGGAGCCCTGCCTCATGGGAAGGACTCAGAAAACAGCAGAGGTCCTTTTGGGGCAGTATCTGCTCTCCTCTGACCCGAGAGGGGAGTGCAGGGCTCAGATCTGTGGGCTCCCCACCTCCCACATCCCAGATGGGCCGGGCCAGTGGAAGAGCTGGGCAGGAAACTGGACAGTGAGAGGAAAACAGGGTCCAATAGTGGCTCCACGTCTCACTCTGCGGGAGCCCCAGTCTCAAGTTTGTTTTGGGAGCAGAAGTTCAAAAAATGTCGTTACTATCTTATTCACCTAGACCGTCTTCACACTTCCCTTACAAAAAGCCCAGCTGGAGCCTACTTTTTGAAACTTGTGTAAATTCTCTCAATTCTGCTATTTGTTATTTAATTATAAGTCCTGATGCTGCTACCAGGACAGATAGCTCCATCGGAAGCTTCTGTCTGCGAGAGCCACTGATATATCAATGTCTTGAGCATGCTGCTATATTTTATTCTAAGATCTGTTTAAAAAATAGACAAGCTTATATAAACAAGGTAAAAGTTCTCTCTGATTCTACCATAGCCACTTCATACATTCTTACCCTATGTTATATGCACAGAGACACATTTTTCACAAAATCTGAGCCATTTTATACATTCATTAATGTATTAATGCATTCGACAAATGTTGATGATGACTTCTCTGCCAGGACCAAGCAATGAGCAAGGTAGACAACCCCTGCCCATGTGAATCTGACGTGTCACTGGGGGACATAGGGAAGCAAGCAAACAGTTTGCAATTGTGAAAAGTGTTGGGCAAAGGAAAGGGAGAGAAGCTGGGTATGGCGGTGCATGCCTGTAATCCCAGTACTCAGGAGGCTGAGGCAGGAGGACCACAAGTTCAAAGCCAACCTGGACTACACAGTGAGTTCAAGATCAGCCTGGACTACATAGTGAGACCCTGTCAAAAAAAGGAAAGAGAGCGAGAGAAAGAAAGGTAGATGAGGTTTGCATCTAGGAGGGATAATCATTGGTGAAGAACCATTAAACCGCAGTCATGAGGCTGTGACGGCCCAGGAGGGGATTCTGCATGGAGGGTGGGAGTGAGTACAAGGCCTTCCCATGCCAGGCAGGAACAGGCCTGCTGTGGTTGCACAGACTGCTGCCCTGACATTTCCCCTTAGTCTGTCAGGAACTTTTCCTCTTAGGCTCACTCATGCAAGACATGTTTCCTAGGACCTGCTATGTGTCATTTCTGACAAAATTCCCCTCGAGATGCTTACATTTTAGCTCAGAGAGACAGAGACAAGTAAAACGTGAGTAAATATATCAGCAGTAAAGGGAAAACTGAAACAACCCATTTATGCAAAGATTGCAATTCTTTCAATTTTTTTGCATGAAATTCATGTATGGTACCTAGAAAAATTTAAGGAATAAGAATTTGAAGGGAAAAAAATGTCATTACGCTCCATTATAATGGGTGTTCCAAAAATGAAACCCTAGGCATGTAAGGATTAAAACTAAAGCCCAGAGAGAATTTATTTGGGGCTGCTGGTTCTGGTTGTCAGGAAGGCACCCGCATGCCATGCAGGGTGAACAGACTCTGAGGAAGAGGGGCCAGCGGAGCGGTGGGGTGGGGGTCCCAGGTCCTTGTGGGCTCGCACAATAGCGGGGAGGCCGGGCAGGCTGGAGGCGGAGCAGCCCGGCCCTTGGTGAGCCCGCGGGCAGAGGATGTCGGTGCAGCCTTGAATAGAACCGCTCCCCTGTGCTGGAGCAGACCAGCCGCAGTAAGTCACGCTCTGCAGCACGACTGCTCACGGAGGTATGACTTCCATGTTGCCAGACACATACCCAGTTTCCAACTTTTCAATTATCTTCGAACGCCTTGTTCCAAATCTCCCTTCCCCTCTGTAGGAAGAGCGATCGCAGGGCTGCGCGCTCCCAGTGCAACGGGCTGTGGTGTTGGTGATGGCGTCCCCAGGTCGGTGATCATTCGGGCTTCTTTCGCTGCTCGCTCTTTCCTAGGATGGTGACGCTCATTTATTTATTGTACCTTTTTGGTCTTTACCACCATGCTATGAGAAAGATACTGTTGCTATCCCCATTTACTGAGAGGCAAATGGAGGCTCCGAGAGGCTGCTAGCAAATCCCCTGAGCACACAAGGCCGCTCAGTGTAAAGTCGAGGATGCAACCCAAATTCCGGCCTATGACAGAGTCCGAGCTGAGCCCCCTGGAAGAGAAAATTCACAGTTCCTCTTCACAAGATAGTACTCAGAGACAAAAGGCAGGTCAGCTTCCGAAACACCATATGTGCTCCAATGATGCAGATCCTTGGCCAAAATCATGAAGTTTCATCACTGTTTTTCTTTATAAATCAAGTAGGCCTTCACATCCAGCCCTGGAAAAACTTTAGGAAGAGGCCAGTGGCTGGCACAGCATCCAGGCTCCTGCACCTACTGACTTGTGACCTCTGCCAAGCCATTGAACCCTTTGTGCAGCTGTTCCCCAGGTGGTACAATGAGAGCAGGACTGGCATCTACCTCACTGTGCTGCTGTCAGGATTAAATGAACTAGTACCTGTGAACTAGGAATTAGATGGCGTATAGTAAGTGCTCAATAAACAGGTATTACAAGTATTTGAAAAATAAATCTAAAAGGTTAGCATGATTTTCTCCAACTTCCATTTAAAGGTCTTGACTCCATCCTATTCTTATCTCACCATCCTACTGACCTCTTAAAAAGTCTCCTTCTGATAATATGACCACCACTGCCCAAAGTTGGGTTATATATTAATTATGAGCCCCAGCAAATACATGATAGCAGATTCAGGAAGTTTTGTTTTGCACGTTTCTGTGTTCCGTAAGACTTCGCTCAAGACTTTTCACATGACTCAAAACTTAACATTTGAGCTGGTCATGGTAGCATGTGCTTGTAATCCTAGCACTTTGGGAGGCTGAGGCAGAATAGTTGCAAGTTTAAGTCCAGTCTGAGCAACTTAGAACTTCGAGAGACCTTGTCTCAAAATAAAAATAAAAAGGGATAGGGATATAGCTCAGTTGGAAGGCCCTGGGTTTACTCTACAGTATCACAAATAAACAAAAACACCACTTGCAGGTGTGAATGAATTAGTGAGAAAAAGTGCCAGGCTGTACATGAACAAAGAGTTGTAATTTGATAGTCACTGCACCTTATTTGTCACCATTCTTTTAATTTTTCATCCAAACCCAGACCTTGGAGTTTTTTTTTTTAATTTCAGAAGTTCTTATTAATGTTAAAACATAGCATTTATTTGCTTATTTATGTCTAATTCAGTTCACAAATGTCTTAAGATGGCTTACAAAGGTCATAAAACTAAAGATGAAACTGATTTGAAAAATGAGGAGAGAAGGGTGGGTACAGAAGGCAAAGTAAAGAAAAAGATCGAAATACCCATGGCCTAAAAACCCTGTAGCAGATCACAAGTGGCCTGAAATGTTTGAAATGTTCCGGAGTCGACATGAAAAGGCAAACCAGTGAGGGATGGAATTCACAGCAGCCACCGGGTGAGCCAATCGCTGGGAAGACTCGGTCATGCTGACAGGAGACCCTGCAGACCCGCACCACAAGGGGCTCACCAGGCACCTCCAGCACCTGTGCAGGATGGCTGCCCGTGCAGACCCTGGGTCTGGGCTACAGCCACTCGGACGTGCCTCGAGGGGAGGACAACCAGCGCACCAGGTGCGTCCCGTCCCAGGGAGGAGAGAAACACAGCCAAGCTTTCTACGTGGAGGATTTGTTATTTAGAGTAAAAGAGCAGCCTGTTTCTGTTGATGTATGAAATGTACAATTTCCCTTTCCAGGTGTGTTTTTATTATTTTGGGTAAGTGACACATGACAGCTTTACAAAATATAAACACTATAAACCTGAAAAACGTCCCTTCTCTTTTAGACTGTGGTCTGCTGAGGTCTTCCACACTGACTCCCTTGTCACTCTCTGAGCCAGGAGAAAGGACAGAGAAGTGGCCCCTTCAGACCTCTGCAGAGGTTGCTCTAAAGCAGTCCCTCCTTCCCTTGCATCAGAGAGATCTTATGTGATGAGAACAGACAGTTCTTTGCACTACACAGGGGTCAGGTGGTGTTCAGGGCTGTGCTGTGGTCCTGGCTCTGCCTTTGTGTTGCTTTATACCTCTTGGGGCCTCTGGTTTCCTCGTCTCCTCATCTTAAAATGGGAAATTTTAATTTACAAACCATTATGTAAACTTCTGCCTTTAGAACTAGGCCAATCCAAATTGCAGAATACTCTCTTACATTAATGTGGCAAGGATAACTATACATAAAGCTTTCTAACCATAGTAGACACAAAACATTGCAGCTGTTACTGTCTTCTTCTCGATACAGCTCCAGGCATAAAATAGATAATGCATAAGTGCATTAAACTAACAGGCAGTGCACGCAGGAATATTGCCACCTAGGAGCCTTTGACAGTTGGCAGTCTCTCTCAGTATTTGAAATCATAGCATGGTGGTTAAGAGCTTAGACAAGTAGTCAGGATGTCGTTGCTAATTATCTGTGAAGTCTCAGACAAGCTGGATCCCATTGTGAGTCTACCTTACCATCTAAAATAAGATGACAGCAGTAACTTTATTATAGAAATTTTGTAGGAACTGTTAGATGAGGATTTTAAAGTCTTGTCATTATCCCCAGAACACGGTAAACATTTGACAAATATTATTATTATTATTATTATTATTATTATTATTATTATTAATCTTACGTAATTCTGTATCACAAAACTTGTATTTGCTCTCAACGTGCTGCTCCCAGTCTGAATGCTACGGGATCATGGAACTTCTCAAAAGGCAAGCCCAGTCTTCATATGAGCTAATGGATCTGTGCCTACAACTCACACCTATTTTCCTTTCTTGTTTTGTCCTTGTTTCTGCAGGACTTCATTGTAACTGTGGTTTTCTCCTTCTTGTGGCTCGTGGGTTCATCTGCTTGGGCGAAGGGGCTATCTGATGTCAAAGTTGCAACAGACCCTAAAGAAGTCTTGTTATTAATGTCAGCTTGCAAGCAGCCAGCTAACAAGTGCATGGCGGTCCACAGCCCTATCATGTCCAGCTTAAACACCTCTGTGGTGAGTACGCTACCTCCCGTCTCTGCCAGTCAGTAAGCAAGAAAAATATCTCTAAAGCCATCATGTTAATGTCTGCTTCCAGAACTAGGCCAATCAAAAATGGTGATATTTCACTCTGGGAACAAGATGGTCATTTGGCCTTCAAGGTTTTTATTGTCAGAATCCATAAACATCAACGCCTCTGATTATGCCATTATTAATAAAAACCCAGCATGTATGAGCATCTGCTACTTAGATGACAGTTGAGATAAAACTGTAATCCAGAAGCACATGTGAAATCTGAAGGTTAAACTATAATAAAGGAGTATTTGATGGTGTAGAAGTTTCCTGGGAGGAAAATATTTAAGCCAAACATAGTTAGAATATGCCCATTTGATGGAAGAAAAATATGCACTTAGTAAAGTGCAAAAAGAGACACATGGCATAAAAAAGTGTTTATAATAGTCATGATTATTTTTTTATTTTCATAATCCTGGTTTAGTTGCTTCAAAGCTTCCCTCGTCACTTCTTCATTACTGGGACACAATACCTGGTACCCGCACGTTAAAGGAGGACAGGTTTATTTTAGCTCCCAGTTTATAGAGGTTTCAGTCTACAGTCGGCTGGCTCCAGAGCAAGGTGGCATTGCAGAGGAGAAACGGTCCATGGCAGGGCAGGCAGGAGGCAATGAGACTCCCTTTCCCTTTTATCCCATCCAGGCTCCAAGCCTCCCACACTCAGGGTAGGCCTTCCCATTTTCCACACCCAGAATTATGCGACGCACCCAGAACTGTGCTACATCAATCAGGAGGCTAATTTAGTTATCACAGACACTTAATCTGTCCATCTCTGAGAATGTAAGGAGACATCTAGATACAAGCCATAATAACAGCTTTTTAAAAGATGCACTATATTAGTTGAACAAAGTCAGATATTGTCTTCAAGTGTATGGTCCTTACAGGAAGAGGGAAAATCTGACAGTTAACAAAGATGCTAGACTGCATTCTTAATTTATTTAAGGATAAGAATTTGTTATTCCAAAGAAAGAAGCTGTGTCTGAAAAAGACATGAGCTATTATGGCAGCAAAACACAGCATTTATCAAAGAATAAGAGTATCAGCAACATTCTTTAGCAAACCCTAAAAGTAATTATCTTTGCTTCAAGGTTAGCCTGCCTTTCTAGAGTTTTCTGAAATACAATCCGGAAAGGCACTTACAACAGGAAAGGTGATGGCCCTCAGCTCCTGATGATGCAACTGTAACCCTACGTGTTAAAATCTCACGTTATTTTTATTTATTGTCAGTCACACCCACAGATGACTCCTCCGAGGTGAACATTAACATATGTAGTATTGCTCCTTTGGTTTGTTTACAGACAGTAATAATGAAAGTGGTTGAAAGTTATATCTCAAAATCTGAGTAAAGATAAAATTGCCTAAAGTGTTTATAGTTTAATAATCTATCTCCCAACAAATTTTGACATCTTGCCTGGTCGTTTTAATTCTACTTTTGGTGTCTTTAATAACTTTTAGACTACATGATAGGAATTAAGAATGCAAAACGATGTGATATGTCTCCTAAAATCGAAGAGAGGAATGGACTGAAGTCTAATGACGGGATGTGTATTGAAGGTTGGCCCTAGTGGTGTCCTAGTTATGTGTCTAGGTCATCTGCAAAGGGTGTTCTGGTTCCTCTAGCAGAAAAGTCAATCCAGGCTGACTATAGTAAAAGAGCCCTCCTGTCCTTTAAATCTGTTCTTTAGATCCCGCCTCTGTGCCAGTGTTTGCATGCATCCAAATATTTCTAACCTCATCAGAGAAAAAACAGCCTTTGGAAGATGTCAAGTTGCTCTTAAACTGAGGAGACCTGAAGAAACAAGAAAGGGCAGAATCTAGAGCAGAACCACGGCTCTTGATGTCAGATACCAAAGAAAGGCTCTTGGTGTTGCTATTTAGGAAAGTTTCCCCAAGCTGCATGTCTCTGCTCCAGCCATTGACTGAAACTTGGCTCTGCAAACGAAATCAGATGTAGATTATCATCATCAGGGGAAATGTAACAATTGTTCTAAAATCACAAACATGTTAGCCTTCAAGTCATATTGAGCTACTATATGCAAAAACCGAAAATAACTGGAAAAATACTGGAAATGTGCGTTCATTCCCGGGGTAGAATCCAGAGCTGGGACCCGAAGGACAGCAGGAAACTGGATAGTTCTATCCTCCTCCTCTTGTCTCTGCCTCTTCTGTACCCCCGTCCCCCCTGATTTTTTTGAGACAGGGTCTTACTAGGTTGCCCACAATCAAACCCATGACCCTCTTGCCTCTGCCTCCCAAACAGCTGGGATCAAGGCACAAACCACTGTGCCCAGCTCACACCCAGCTCTCGAGAGAACATTTCATACTTCTCTCAAGCCACATTCCGTCCTCATTCTGGCTTCAGCACGCACTGTGAATGTGAGCAGCACCAAGGGTGTGACTGTGGAGAACCCATCTTCATGGTGTGCTCGTGCGTGAGCTTACCTGCCTACTGCTCATCCCATGGTTCACTCCATGTTTTTCTAAATCAACTCGTTTTCCACTCCCCTATATCGTTACAGTAGATGGGTAAATGGTATCTCCAACCATAAACAAAAGGTAACCTTACAAATCAATGTATAATTATCAAAATTAAAATACTTAACCCTATGCCACCCTGAGATAATCTTACACACTTTCGCGGTGTGCCTGAACTGGGAGGTAGCAGGACCTGGGTAAGGACTCAGGCTACCAGCTCAGGCAGCACCGAGCAGGAGCCCCAGCCCCATTACTCAGCAAAGCACAGGACCTTGAGCCCGATTTGTTTCACGTCTCTAATACAAGCCTGATGACGGCACTGTGCTGTCAGGAATCAATACACATAAAGCTCTCGGCATTGCACCTGACTTGTGGTGGGTATTCGGCCAAGGCCAGTGTCCTAGTTAAAGCGGTGGTGTGGAGTAGACGATGCTGAGTACCTGTTCCACTGGAAAGGCCTTGCTGAATCCAAGTTTTCTCTAGGATCTCTGTCTGCTCTAGCAACTCCTTTGCTCCCTTTCTCCTGCAGGTGTTTGGATTCTTGAACTTTATTCTCTGGGCTGGAAACATATGGTTTGTTTTCAAGGAGACCGGCTGGCATTCCTCGGGACAGAGGTATCTTTCGGACCCCATGGAAAAGCACTCCAGCAGCTACAACCAAGGCGGGTACAACCAAGACAGCTATGGGGCGGGCGGAGGGTACAGCCAGCAGGCGAGCATGGGGCCATCCTCCGAGGAGTTCGGCCAGCCAGCCAGCGGCCCTACTTCCTTCACCAATCAAATTTAACAGGGTGGCATTTGCATTTTCCAGGAGCTAGCCTCACCACCTGCCATCTCAGGGGCAGAAGTTTTTAAGAGTTTGAATCAATTATTAATGCAGAGTGTTGAATGTAAATCGGAGATCTGTAGTCCTCATTAAGGCAGACAGGCCTGGGTCGTAATGAATGGAACTTAGGCGGGAGATGGCAAGGGGGACCTGTTACTCACCACAGACGGCTCAGTGGAGAGCACCTTGTTACGTACACACACTCGATGGTCGTTTTGTATGTATGTTGAGACAGTAGAAGTATCTGTAGCTTCAAGTCCCTGGTGTGTTATATGCATAAGGTAAATTAAATAGTATTGAGTTTTCCTGTGCATTTTGATGCAGAAGACGTTTTAATGATTCTAGACAACAACTTGGTGTATCATGGCATGCGTGTATTTTTGTTTTTTAGTTCTAAGCCCTGTAGGACTGCAAGTCTATTTGTTTCAGGCTGTTACTTTGTGTTTTTTTAACTTGATGATCAGTGCTCATACAATTTAGTGCATGCATAAGCATTTTCTCACACAATAAACATTAGAGTTGTATTTATGAGGATTTTCCAGTTTGCACCATGAATTTGTTAAACAGACATTTAAAGAAAAATATTCACTACTTTGTATACTTTTCAGATTTGTCTCTCTGGCTTTACCCAAGTCCTGGATGCATTGTAACTAAACTTTGGGGATTTTCCTTATTAGTAGACAGCCAATGCTGTGTATGGTAACTGCCCAGTATTTATTCTGTTTACTTAGCTAAATATTTACATTCCTGTAACTTTCTGTGGTGTTTTGTGGTTATGTCCTGTGGACCATAAATAATACAGCCCAATAATTGTCCGTACTCAGAGTGCTGTTTTTTCTTAGACTACCTGAGATGCAGATGTCAGGTGCTGCTGTGCTAAAATGTTTATCTACATGGGATATTCTGCAGGCATCCACGGCCAGCCAGACATTTAAATCATATTTATTTGTAGAGTTAGTATGTTCCTAGATCCAGTTATTAAAAATTCTCCAGTCACAGCTCAACAGAGTTACTAATTCTGAGTGTAACCCATAAATTGAAAGTGGTTTCCATGGGCCACTGTGTATTCTAAAGAAACTTCTCATAAAACAGTCCCCAGAATGCATTCATTATCAAGAAAATGCCAATCTTTGCCATTCCGTTTTAACTCCATTAAAACACCAGAGTCCCCCAGGAAGAGCAAGCTGAGCATCTGCATTCCAGATGAAGTCACTCTCAGCGTACCAGCCCACAGTGTGATCTGTGATTTGGAAGCATTTTAGCAGAAAACAGCCTTGTGTCCTAGATGAGATGTGTACCAGCTCCTTGATCTGCTGGGTAAATCTGTATTGTGATGTTCATTTGAATTTAATAAAGTGATTGCTTACAATGCTGGCTGAGCAATGAAGAACTATGACAAGGAAACCTGTGTGGCTCTGCCAATGAGAACAAATCCACACGCAACATCTCCACTAGCCACTGCTCTCTCTCTGCACTTGCTTTCTGAGCCTAAGATGGTTCGTGCTGTCATTTCCCCACATCAGGGCTGGGGATGTAGCTCAGTGGTGCCGCCGCCTGCCTCGCAAGCACAAGGTCCTGAGTTTGATCCCCGGTACCAAAAACGAAATTCACTTCCCCATGTCATCATGGGTCATTTCCCCACGGAGAGACCTGCAGTGCCCCGAACAAGGGGCCAGTCACTGGGAGACAGTGTGAGCGAGACCATGGGAACCTTCCTTTAGGAGACAGACATTAAAATGACCACACCCCATGTGCCGAGTGCTTCGGAGGGAGGCCTAGGATTCCACGAGAATCGCTCATAGAGACGTCAGCTATTAGGGAGAAGCTGAGGAGCCTCAGACCTGAACGCTATGCAAGGTTTCAAAGGACAGGGAGAAGAGCTTCCGAGGAAGAGGGCAGCAGGTGTGGGGCTGCTGCGTGAGGAGTGAGGGGAGATGTGGCTGTGGATAAGGGGTGAACCTGCCTGGAGGCCACGATCGGGACCCTCTCTGTCCTGAGGGAGCTAAGGGAGAGCATTAAGGGAGAGACACAAAGAGATTAGCAGTGGCTAATCTTTGCAGTGGCTGCGATGTAGGAGTGGAAAAGGAGAAGAAAGATCCTAGGGATAAGGAAGTCGAGACTGATAAGGAAGTCTCCTACACTGAGTGTGGGGAGAAAGGAGATGGCAGGAGTCCCCTACCCCCAACTTCCTGGCCAGTGGCCTGGCTGGACTGCTCTGTGCAGTGCTGACCAGGAGGAGAAAGGGGCCTTGGCTTCATAACGCATTATGAGCGCTCCAAAGCAGAGTCCCCCAGCACGGACTTCTCCCTCAGCAGCTCCACTGCATTTGGGGCTCTGCTAAGTGGACGCACTCACAGCCCCCGGGGACATGGACACAGTGTCCACCGCAGATTCCCAGTGAAGAGCTACAGCAGTCCGAGAGGGATTTCACTGACAAGGCTTTATTCCAGAAAGGAGCAGCTTTAGCCTTCTATAAAAAGGGGGAATAATTAGTGCACAGGGTAATGCTGGGTCTGTGGTCCAGCCTGATCTGGAATCAGCTTCGCTGCTCACTGGCTGCAACTCACAGTTTGAATCCACTTCCCTGACCTCTTGCTTCCTCAGAAAGGAATTTGCATGAGAAGGGTGGGCTCTCGGGTCAGACCACCGGGTAATGTCTCTGCACTGCTGCTCATCAGTGAACCCCAAAGCCCTGGATGCTGCCGAAACCATACGCAGCTGTAAGCAGGTCAGACCCAGGGCCACCTCGACCCCGGAGCACGTGGGCTGGCAGACGGCACCTCGGGAGACACTTCCATCCCTGCCACGGGATGACGGTGGTCCTGCACAAGGGGCGGGTATCAGAGGAGCCATGAAGGGTGAGCCTCCCAGAGGAATCCCAACAGTGCCCAGCACCCGGTGGGGACTTTCGGGTTTGGCTCCCCTGAAAGCACGGCCTGAGACAAAAATGCAGGAGCAGACAATTTGTGTGGGAGGTGACTTCTGCATGCAGGAGTGAGTAGGGAAGGAGGAAGGAAGAAAGAGCAGGCCCAAGGGTGTGTGGGTGCTGGTGCTGGTGCTGGTGCTGGCAGGGTGCCGTCACTCTGGCGGTCTCCCTAGTCCCAAGATCGATCAGGCAGTACGCTGGGCCAGGGGACACCTGCCCTTCCCTCATTCCTGGAGACAGCCAGCTTGGGGAGGGACAGAGGATGTGCTGCGCGGGAGGCCACTGCCCGCCTGCGCAGCAGTGCTCTATCAAGTGGGGGCTGGGATTACAGGCTCTGTCTGCCGCAGTGGCAGGTGATCTGAGGTTGCTCTCCGGCGGGGAAACAGGGCTGCGGTGACCCCGCCTCCTCGGCAGTGGTGAAAACAGCCCTGCTGTGTGTGGGAAAGCTGCGTGAGCCACACAGCAGGTTGGCTCTAGGGAGCTGAATTAAAGGCAGAGGTACAAATCTACCCACACTTTATAATCCTGAGTTTTCACACTGCTGCAGTGAGCAAAATACAGTCCCTGGTATCTTTGGAGTTTATACTCACAACTGGAAGGATCAAATCACAGACAAGCAACAAAGCAAACGTGTAGGGATACATTTCGATTGATGGTCCAGAGGACAGAAACAAGGTACGGAGGATTGAAGTGGTCAAAGCTCTCTGAGGTGGCGATTTTCAATCTGAGCCTAGAGGGCATGAAGAATGGGGAGAGGCACCCTGGGAGGAAGCTAAGGTGGTGCCCACCAGTGTCTTTGCCGGTTAAGAAGAAACAACTAGCGGGCCGAGACATGTGAGGACAGGGCCAGGGGTTTGGGCTGCAGTCAGTGTGACAGGCCCCAAAGGACCGGGAAACAGGCTCATTCTAAGAGAAGCAGGAAGCCAAGGGCAGATAAAAGGCCACACCCTCAGTTTGGCTGTCACTTTGAAAAGATCCTTCTATCAATTTCCTGGCTTATGCATTATCCTCTAGCTAAGATGTTGGCACTGGGTGAAACTCACTGAAGGGTTCCTGGGATTCTAAGTACTATTTTTGGAACTTCCTGTAAGTGGGAATGTGGAGAATAGACTGATTCATCGGTTAATTCACTTAGCATTGAGTTCCTACCATGTGCCAACTCTGTCCCAGAAGCTAGGGAAGTGGACTTGGAATAGATGAGGTCTGAAGAAGACAGACATCATCTGCGTGCTCGCTGGGCAGGCAGGGCATATGAAGAGAAAGAAATGAGATCCACGGACACCGCGTTACCTGTCGAGAAGGATGTGAGGGGATGGCACGAAGGGCGGCAGCAGGGCTGTGAGGGTGGCAGAGCAGGGAAGAAGCCAGAGCCCCCGAATGAGAACGTGTGTCCTGAGCCCGAGGGGGGCCCTGTGCTCCAGCAGCAGCTCAGCTGGCCAGGTCCTAAGCTGCTGTGGGGGTGTAGTGAGTGACTCCTTTCTCTCCAGCCTTTTGCGCTTTCAGATTCGCGACACCCTCGATTCCACTGGACCCTCTCAGCAGCAGCCCAGCAGGAGGGAGAGGCCACGATCTCCCCTGGAAGTCGAGTTCCTGGGCTTGATTCCCCGGGGCAGACCCTGAGACAAGAATCCGGGTGCATGGTAGGGCTGGGAAAGTGAACCAGAGTGGAGAAGGCGACGCTGGGGCCGCGGGGGTCCACGGGGGTCCACGGACAGCCTGGAGCACAGTGCAGAGCACAGCCATCGGGTCGTGCAGATCGGGCGAAGGAGCCATGGCCTTTGTCAGCACTCCGTCAGCCTCCAGAGGAAGGCGCTCACCCCCACCTGGGAGCCCTCCCGGAAGGAGAGAGCCGTACGGAGCTCCGGAGTGCTGCAGGGGGAGTTGGGTCACCACTCCTGCTGGGCTGAGTTCCAAGAGGATGCGGGGGACAGGGCCACGCCGGGGTCAGTAGTGTCAGAGAGCTTGGCCAGCTGGAGGCCAGGAAAGAGACTCACTGGAAGTGCCTTTTCCTTTGTCTATAAAACATACTTTTCTCCATTAATTCCCTGGCCTACCCAATATATACATATAACATTAACCCCAATATGCCATGGGATTTTACCCAGGTGTCCAAGACACAATTTCAATAATATCTACAAAGTGATAACTTTAAAATTATTGAAGCAGCCAGTGAACTAAATAAGCACTTTGCACTTAACCATGATAGCACAATACTAACGATTCTAGTACTCTTCCTGGACGACAGGTTAGAAACCCCAAAGTCAGGGAAGTCAGACCATGATGACGTCCTTGTGAGTACCTTCACCAATAAAGTCATTTCTAATTGCTTCTGTCTGCCGAGTACCTGTCCAGTCTGCACAGAGAACTCCGTTCTCATAGTTCAAACTTAGAGGAAAGGCAAGATAAAGTGCCACTGAACACGTGAGAAAACAGATGAGAACTGCTAACCCGCTCGTCCCGAGGTGGGACTAGAAGATGCCCAGAGGCAGAAACCCGGGCCTGAGCATCCAGGTCCCCACTGTAAAGCGCCTTTCTAGGCCTCCGCAGTGCCCCACCCCGTTCTATTGCCTTTTCAGCCAGCTGTATTTGTCCAGCACGGGTGCAACCAACAAAGACCCAGACCACCGAGTGCTTCGCTGAGCTTTCCATTGGACCCCAGAAGGAAAACTTTTGTCCGAACCATTTGCCAACATGAATAAAGTCGGGCCTCATTCTCAAAGTTAATCAAGTTGCTGCGACTGCTAATGGCCCAGCTGAGCCAAGAATGGTTCCATAACGTGCCTGACAGAGCCCGCGTTTGCTGGGCTTCCGGGCTTAGCAAACACTTTCAGCAACTGTCGGCAGCCACCATTTCCAAGAATGGCCGGGCCCTCCTCACGCCTGGAGCCACGGCCTGTGAGCGATGTGCACTGGCGCGGAAGGGCCGTGGGGAGCATCGCATGACCTGAACTGCTTTCCCAGAAGTCTTGGGTTTCTCTGAAAACATTGTAACTCTAATTGAGTGTTTCCTTTAAACGGAAAGGTCTCAGCATCTGTGCCCTGGTTTATTGAACAGAACACTTGAAGGCAGTCGTAGTAAGTCAGAGGTTTCCTGGGGATGCAGAGTTTGCCTTTGTGCTGCCGCTGCTCTGTCCCTGTATCGATTGCTGGACCCCTTGCAGCCTGAGAGGTCTAATTGGCCCGTGCTGTGAGCTGCACCCTCCGGCTCTTCTGCCCGTGAGCTCATCTCTCTCCTTGCTGCAAAGGCTCTCGGCTGGCTTTGTGACTGGCCCCGCAAAGGGAGCTTCCAAGGTTAGATATTTTCCTTCAGAGGCAAGCAATTCCTCCAGACTTCTTCCGAGCACACGACCATCACCCCAGAGTGACAGATCTGCACATGCCTGGCCCAGGAAGCTGGAGCCTGGTTTCCTTTCCAAAAGACCCAAAAGGAGGGAGACGCTGCTGAAAACGACTA